AGATTGAGACGCATCGACCACCGTATAGCTCTGGCACTGTATCCTTAGCGGGTGAAGCTCTGCAACACCCACGTCATACACACATGGAACAAAAAAAAGATGTAACGGAGTTCTCATTGCTCGGTTCTTGACCCCGTGCTACTTTGTAGCTCACGAGATCAATCAGAAAGCTCACACAAACTGACTGGCAATGATTCCGAGACTGCAAAAAGCAGAACCGCCCCAACGAGACATCAGAGGCGACCAGTGCAGGTGTGACGTTACGGGTGGCCAGACGCAAAACATTCTGCAGCGACGAGGAGGAGAGAGAGAGAGAGAGAGCGAGAAGCCAAAACTTCGGCAAATTAAGGCCCAGGAAGTACTCGACAAGACTCGTCTCTGCGACAAGACTCGTCAAGAAAAGCCAGCACAGTTCTGCGCTTGTAGCTAAGCAAGCCGTCGGCACAAGCACTGCGAATGTGGACCAGCCATGAGACAAGGGTCTTTCTGTGCAATGCACTTTGAAAGTTGCCACGGCGCATCCTGCCAGAGTATATGTGTCCGGACAGCCCGCAAGACGTTCTTGAAACTACCAAACCCGAAACCCGAAACTCTCCACATCTGTCGCGTGGCACCTATGTTTCCGGAGGCCACAATCCAGAAGGGGAGGCCCGTCAGAAAATGCGGCACCGCTGATATCTTCGCTCCGATGATGGCGGATGTGCTGAGGATCAACACCATGGATTCCTCCAAGAAGGCTGTTAGGAAACTGGCTTCATAAGTACTTCGGGCTTAGGGTGTAGAGGTGCATTGCTTCAAGAAGGCCCTCTGGAAACGAGGGTTTCGGCTCTGAGTTTCGGGTGTCGTCGGGCATGGAGAAGAATGAGAGCATCCGCAAGCAATCGGCCAACTGTCGCGAAGTCGAGGCACAAAGAGATCAGCACAAGTCCCGGTCACATCACATATAACCTCTCCAATCTCATCCAAAAAGTCAATGGGATGGAGATCCTGGGCACGATAGGCAAGAAGGGGGCCTCTGTTCGTCAAGCCTACGCCATGCTTGTTAGAGTCACATCATCACCCAAGGAATCGCTGCAGCTGGAGCGTCTGCACAGATATCTTGCATCTCCTCCTCCAAGAGGCGCAGTTGATCTAAGGCTTCCTCCTCGTCGTCCTCCAAGCCTTCAGAATAACCCGGAATGCTGCAAAGGTCTCTTAGAGCAGCTTAGAGGCTTAGAGTCTAGGATCTCAATCCCTGCATGAAAACGACGACGCCGTGTTTTTGGCCTTTCTGCAGACGCTCTTTTCGCGTGTTCGCGATGTTCTCCTGAGGCACCGTACAACCGCCAGCATGAACTACTTCTGGGGAGTAGTTCAAGAGGGGTCTTTGTGATAGCCATCCGACAAGTTACTTGCAGGCCCTTTGTTGTTCTGAACCTCACCTCCCCTACTCAGGGTGGTTCCACCATGCGAGCTGAGGCTCCATGCGCTGCTGCAGCTCGAAGACACGCCGTTCTTCATCAAACTTCGACTCGCTCATCTCACCAACCAGGTCGCCGCCTGCAAGGGATACTTGGACTTGAAGGAGGGAAGACCACTGGAAGACTCTCGGCTCCAAGAGATTAGTTTCAGGTCCAAGAGTTTCAAACCAGCAGGACCAATGTTGGCAACAAGGCCCCGAAGGACAAGGTTACTCCCTCATAGCACTAAACCCGACACCATAAACCCAAAATAAACCTTGAATAAGCCCTAAAGGAACCCTAAATAAATCGTAAATAAGCCCTAAATAAACCCTGACTGAGCCCAAGCTCTGCCAAGGTGCCCAAGTCCGCGCCTTTCGAGAAGATCCCCCCGCCCACGCGCAGGTAGAAGGAGACGAGGCCTCGGCTTTTGGTAAGGAATTGAAACGCTTTCCAAGAAACCCTAAACCCTAAATGACTTAAGTGAAGTTACCATAGGAAAAAAAGGAAACCAAATCACCCACTATCGATCCCTATCATGGCAACCTATCGAGCCTTTAAAAGAAGCCTAAACCCTAAACCCTGTAAGGTATGGTGGCTTACACCACTTCCTTAACAAGGACCCAGCGACAGGCCCCGGAGCCAAAGCCCGAAAGCCTGGGCTCTTGTGAGGGAAACTACATAACATAGGGTTCCCTTTAGGGTTCAGGGTTTAGGGCTTCATTTACGTTAACATAACATAGGGTTCCTTTAGGGGCTTAGGGTTCAGGGTTGAGGGCTTCATTTACGTTAACATAACATAGGGTTCCTTTAAGGGTTTAGGGTTCAGGGTTCAGGGTTTAGGGTTTCATCTAAGTTAACATAACATAGGATTCCTTTACGGGTTTTTGGACACTCACACTCGGACAAGCCTGGCAAGGTCTGTAGCGATACTGGTCCAACGCACATTAGCTAGACACACCGGCACATGTCACCGAGTACCATGTTGTCAGGGAGCGCTTAGACTCGACAGTTCCAGCCCTTCTGACAACAGACCTCCGCAGCAGCAAACGTCCTATACCCAAACATCCCACGACCTAGTTGACGCTGTGTGGAAGCCATGTGAACCATGGAGTCAAAACGCTTTAGCATGTACAAGTGCTGCTAATGACAATCTCACGGCATGCAAGCTTCCCATGCAATGCACAACGACAGACACGAAGGCTTCGAGGATCATGCATGTTGAAATTTTCCTCTCAATGACGCTTTCTCTCGAGCACTGACTGAATTGTGCCACGACCAATTCTGCAAGAACTGTAGGACTCACTTTCAGCACATATTCCAGAATTCAGAATCCCATGCAGTCACTATCCAGGTTGCACCGCGCTCGCGCTGGTGCTCCAGAGCTTCCATGCAATAAATTCGTCATGCAGTAAAACCAGCTTCAGATCTGCCATGCACAAAATTCGTCATGCAGTAGCGAAGCGCCCACCACGACGGATGGGTTGAGGGAGTCTGTGTAGAGTAGCTGGCTATGAAACTACCCCATGTAGGGGATCAAGGAAGAGGTCAAGAAATTGGAACTGAATGTCCCCTTGATGTCTTCGTTGCCCGAATATACCCGGGCCTTCAAGGACTCGATCCATAAAGCGGGAACTCGAATTTTCGATTGAGCCAGCGGAGCATCCGCTGATGCGCTCACGCGGACTCCCTCCTTCCCATCTTTGGGGAGAAGATTCGAGAAGATCGGTGTCCCCTTCAGCACCAGCCTCAATTTCAGCTTCGATCGGTCCTGAAAAGTCCGGCTGCTTCTTTCGATCACTCGACGCCGAACTCCTGTCAGGTTGTTGTTTCTCAGAATAACCACTGGCCTTTTGATCAGTTACTTCGACTTCTGGAGCTTTGACCTTCTTGCGCTTCGGTCCTGATTTCCCTGCGGCGTTCCGGTGCTTGGTTCTGCCTGCATTCATGGTAGTCTGCATTCATGGTAGTCTCCATTCGTTCCTTCAATGTTCCTGTAGGCCAAAGTGACCCGCGATTTCAAGCCAAATCGGCTGAACAGTCGGGACCTGAGTCACACAATCGAGCAAGTGACACGAACTGTTCCAAATCCACTCACCCGTGGACTTGATTAGCTCGTTCGCAGCATTCGTCAGCTCTGTCTCTCCATCACCGCTCAAACCATCAATTGGGCCGATTGCTGCATAGATGTAGGTCAGAACAAAGAGAAAGTGGGTGGATGAGAATTTGCGAGCATCAGTGATGATCGAGGCGAGCCCACATGACCCCTGGTCCCAAGGGACGGAAGCCTTCCACGCTCTCGGCATCTTCCGTTGAACTCCTCAAGTTCTCCATCCTCGAGAGACTCGACGCCAGGACAGAACAGGCCTTTGATCCGCTTCACCGCGACAACTGGCATTTCTGCCCGTTCGCGGTCAGCACCAGATCGTCGTGGAGGCATCGCTCGATGAAGCTTTACGTCTGCTAGAGGTTTGAGCCTAAAAGAGCTTGAGCCGTAGTAAAGGGTCTAGGGTTTAGGGCTCCATTTAAGTTAACATAATATGGGGTTCCTCTAAGGGTTTACGCTCCCACAACTGGGACAAAGGGTTCAGGGTTTAGGGCTTCGTTTAAGTTAATTAACATGGGGTTCCTTTAAGGGTTCTACCATACTTCAGGGTCCCTTTCAAGTGTTCTAAATATACGAAACCAGGATTTCCTGGCTAAGATGATAAGGAAACCCTATTGTTTGTTGCTTTGCTATAGACCCATAAACCCTAAAACCTCTATTCCTCAACAAGAACCCAGAAGCAAGGAGGTGTCTAAGATCCAGAACCACATCCCGGCCATACCTCAGAGCACAAAAGGAGTCAGGTCTCTCTCTTGCCTTCTCTGTTGCCTCCCACCTAGCTAGGAAAAGATTGCATTGCAGGGTCCTGCCCTGCTTAGGGTTTAGGGTCTTGCAAGTTCCCGGGTTTCAGCACTCACCTAGATATAGGGGCTTAGGGGCTGGGGGGGGGGGGGCGTTTTGAGACTTGTGTTGAGAGCGTGGCTGCTGCCTCAGGGTACTTCGAGAGGCCAGGTT